TGCCCATAAGTGACAGATGTCAATGGACACGCTGATGTGTACTGTTGAACACATTAGCTAGTTGTCAACCAAGTGACTGTTTCTGTTCATCACTACACAGAAGTCTGTGACTAATGTCAAAACATACCAGATAAAGGCATCTTGGTGTCAAGTCACTTCTCGAGTTTTGAGTTTTGCAAATGCAGCCACTTAGGAATTAATGTTTGAGCTGCTTAACTTTGCAGTGCTAACATTTTTTTTTCTCACAAAAGGAGGAGAATGACCTCAGAACACTCATATGCATGACTCTTGAATGTTTTTCTAATCAGCTGATACATTTGAGCAAGTAATAAAATACTGGGAAATACATCTTCCCGAAGATAATTTGAAAAAGCGTAAGCAAATAATTGCCTAATTTGGTGATCCTTGTTCTTTCAGGTGGGATTCCATAAAGGGAGAGCATCATGCATTTGGCATGATGCTGTGAGGCTGTCAGCAGCTGCTGAGCCAACACAGATTCTCATTCTCTCCTGCATGGTTACACTTCCTATGAAGGGCTAAGAGGAGTGAGGATTTGAATGTAGTAATTTTACAAAGTAACATTAAGCAGAGAGGGCTTTGAATGTGTAGGTATGTTAAGTCAGGGTAAGGATTTTAAACTTGTATTTCTTTTCATATGTGCAAAGGGAGGAAACTTAAGCTGGCAAAAATGTAAAATCCTGCACTATACAAAGCGTGACACTCTAAGAACAAAATGCTCATTATATTTATGTCTTCTGGATATTGGCTGTTCTCATGTGATGGTTTTGTCTTCTAAAGTACTAAGACTATGCTTGACTACTTCTCAGTTGTTAAGATGTAGCACAATTCTTTCCTACTGGAGGAAGCCAAGGTTGAGGTAGTGCACTCTGGGATTTGTTTGTGGAGGTGAAATGCAGTGGGGACTGGAAACAGTAAAGGGCACATCTGAGAGGCAAGACTACATGTTGTAGGACTGGAGCAGAACAGAACAGGACAGCAGAAGGTAAAGAAAGTGTAAGACTGAAAGAACAGCAAACCAGTCGATACTTTGGAAAGCACAAAGCAAAATCTCTAACTTCTGCATCTAATAATCTTATGAATTAAATTTCTAAATCTAAGTAGCTGAAGGGATATCTACTGACATTTAAAACTATGGAATGAAAGAAAACTTCTCAAGCTTTTCTCACAATTTCCACAAAATTTGAGTGTGACTCTTTTTCCTCTTTAGTATGAATAGCTGGAATCTATGTAATTAAAACATCTGTCTGAAGCTCTCCAGAGTTGCTTTGTTTTCTCTTTCTACCTATTTATTGTGCCTTCCATGCTATTTCCTATAAATTCTAGTTTAACGTTACCAATTTTGTGGACTTTCAACTGTGCAGTTGGCTCATTGCTGCATTAGCATACAGCTTGTGAATAAGGGAAACTGTAAACATTGAAACATCCTTAAATGTTTAGGGATTTTTAAAAATTATAATTAGAAGCAAAAGTGATTTTGTTTTGGCAGGGATGTTTCTGAATACTGTCTGCCCTGCTAATGCCCAGCACAGTTCCTGCCTATGATTTAGTACTAATGTATAATCTTCAAAAAGGGAGGTTTCCATGAAATCCAACATTGCCTTTAGGTCACATCAGAGTAGAAGAGTAAATTAGAAAAAGGAAAGAAAAAACCCGTTCTGTTCTTTGCCACGTTTTCCCAGTGGGCTCTAATTATAACTGCAGTTTATTAGAGCACATTTCAGACCTCTCTTTAAATGGCCTGCTGTGCTTGTGTGGAGTCCTCGTGGCTTCAGCAGGACTCCCCTTATAACAGTCTGCCCACGTGTGATCAATTGCAATACAGAGGGTTTAGTTAACACTAGAGCAAGTTTAGACAGTGAGTGCCTCAGAGATACTGAAAACTATTTGGACTGAACAGAAGTGAGGACATTATATAAACACTACCCCACCCCTTTATTTCCACTGACTTATATAATAATTTGATCCTATACAAAAAGTGGGAGTTGAATTCTCATCATTTCAGAGTACCAGGTTGGAGGTATTGTACACTGTCTCACTTGGACTGGAGCTCTCTAGTCAAGTGCCTTATCAGGACTGTCACCAGACTGCCCTGGGTCATTCACTGCTCTTTCTCTGTCTCAGTTTCCCATTGAGGGGGTTACTGATTTACTCTCAAAACATGTAGAAATGCACAGGGTAAGTGCCCGTAACATCTGCAACATCAAAACAGAGCCACTACTAGCCTATGTGGGGTGTAGCCACTCCCTCTCCACAATTCTCTCATTTTCACTCCCAATTATTTTTGACTTCCAGGTATTCTTGAGTCATTATAATTTTACTAAACTTTCTAGCTGTGAAGTGTAGATTATTACTTGGCTAGCACACTCTTGATGACTTTTTAATAAGGCAACGGTATCCTTGAAAAATATATTATAAGATCTGCTGTTAATTAAGCTACCACCTCAAAAAAATAATTGTGGCTTAATTAGAAGGTAGGCTCATCTTACAAGGAGTAAAAAGATAAATCTTCGAGGCCATGGTATTTTGGGTCAAACAATGTACCTTGGTCAGAATTGGAGTATTTTCATTTGTTTCTGTTTTCTTCTACTCCTTCCTGCCCTCTGTTAAAACTCACCTACCCTGATGTTCTTTCTGCCTGCCTCTGGAAAATGACTTTTTTTCTTTTCTTTTCTTTTCTTTTCTTTTTTTTTTTTTTTGACCCCTATTTCCTTTCAATGTAAGAGTGTCTACATGAGTGAGGCACTGTATTTAGCTGACATCTCCACTTGCCTTCATAATGCAAGGCAGTGCAGAAGATATGTCCAAAACAGTGTTTACCCCCAGAAGGGCAGAGACGGCTGGTGACAGAGCTCTGTCACTAGCTCTGTGCAGTTTATGTGTGAAGCATTTAGTTGTGCAAAGCTAAGATGATGAACCAGTAAGATAGTAAATTTTAAGAACATGAAAGCCAGATCCTGCATGAAGCAGCCATTTATCAAGCAGAAAGGATTTCTGAGACATAAGTCATGAGACAAAGCTTATATTTTAGGTCAAATTCAGCACCTTTTCTAGCAGTGATTGCCAATTCTCTCTTCCCTCCTTTTCCTCTTCAAAGCCTTCAAAGAGGTTTAACAGTGCTGTACTCAGATGACAACTTCACTGAGCCCAGCTTAACAGAGACTGAAGTACTATCCCGTGCATAGGTCAGAGCCAACACCAGGTCCAGAGAAGTTAAAGACTTGTCTGGTTTTGCTTTTTACACAGGAAGCAGAAGGTCTCCAGAACTACAGATGCAGAGAGATGGAACTAAAAAGAGTGAACTGTCTGTGTGGTGAAGAAAAGATGGGAAACAGGCAGATAAGTTTGAGGCACTGGATACAGCAGCATTAAGAGGTTTAGGACGAGCAGACAGCATGGAGACATTCGCCAGCTATATGTTTTGAAAGCAATCCATTCTTCTGCCTAAGCTACTGATAGAAACAAATCTCTTTGCTGCCAGTTACATTGTAAGGAAGGCAGTTGGCACCAAAATCTGTGCCTCGCTGGTTCTGTAAAGGGAAGTCTTTGTAGCTGAATGATACTTCTGGAGAAATTGCCCTCTGATGGCCTCACACAACTCCGGTACCTTGTGAAGGGGAAGTCAGGCTGGAGCCTAACTTGTCTACAGATTGAATCTTAGGGGATAGGTGATGCAGAAATGAATCGGGTTTTACATCAAGCCAAAGCACAGATGAGAGGAATAAGAAGAGCTCTTTGTAGACAGGAAAGGGATCTCCTGACTACGGAAAACCACCAGGAATTTACAAGAAAACTATCAAATCTTATTGGTGCGCAGTAGAACAATCCTTCTTATAGCATGTTTCTATTCCTTTTAAGAAAATGCAAAGGAAATATCGCCCCATGGCAAAGTTTAAATTATACCACTCACCTTGTTTCGCTCCCATGATAGGCACACCACTCCTGTGAGGTCTTTGGCACCAGTCCCCAGCCTGGCCCTGACATCTTCTTCCATAAATGTTAGCAGCTGTCCACAAGCAGGCCATAATACTGACCATAATCACGGCTGGAACTGCCAGTTCAGACCCACAATGCCACTAAAATGCACCTCTTTCACAGTAAGTGTAACTGCCCAACAGCTTATTTTCCACCTGGGGCATCCAAATGTGAAATATGCTGCTTCACTGCAACTGAGCTTCTTTACATGGCTGTTACTGCACATGTTGACCGTCAGGCAGTACCACCCTCCCTCTCCATAACATTCAGCCTCTGCTCTGCATAACCAATTTGGGACAATAAGTTGCTTCTGTTGTGGTTTAGCCCCAGGCAGGAACTCAGTACCATTCAGTTGCTCACTCACTCCCCACCTCCCATCTCAGTTGGATGGGGAGAATTAGAAAGTAGGTAAAATCCACGGATTGAGATAAGAACAGTTTACCAAATGAAATAAAATGTAATAATAATGATAATAAAAAGAGAGACAACAAAGAGAGAGAGAGAAATAACCCCTCAAAAAACTCCCAAACCTCCCAGTGATGCACAGCAGTTTTTCACCACTCATTTATCAATATACAGCCAGTTTCCATGCAGCAGCCCCCAGCAAGCTTTTCCCACAGTTTAGGTACTGAGCATGATGCTGTAGGGTGTGGAATATCCCTTTGGCTGGTTCAGATTGGCTGTCCCAGCCATGTTCCCTCCCTAATTCTTGTGATCCTCCAGCCTTCTTGCTGTTCGGGCATGAAAAGCTGAAAAGTTCTAGAGTTAGTATAAACACTACTTAGCAACAACTAAAAACTTCAGTGAACACACTGAATCAAGATTCAGTGATCAAGATTACTCCTGTGCTAAATCCAAACCACAACACTATTCCTGCTACTAGGAAGCACATGAACTCTATCTCAGCCAAAACTTAGCCAGTTTCATTTTAGGCAGTGATTTGAGACTGACTGCTGAATATGTTGCCTCCCCCTTAAACGAAGAACTGCTTTTGATTTGTCTCTTACCTGTTCTATACCCAGTGTTATTGAGATACACGGCAAAGGTACGTGGCTCGTGAGTAGCCTGCCATGAGGGAGAAGAGCAGTTTTCATTGTTGGTGTATATGTTGTGGTTGTGCACATACTTCCCAGTCAGCATTGAGGAACGTGATGGGCAGCACATCGGGGTTGTTACAAATGCATTGATAAAAGAGGCACCTCCGTTCTCCATAATCCTTCTGGTTTTATTCATCACTTGCAAGGACCCTGCAAAAAGAGGTTCTGATCATCACTGTACTGTAAAAACTTGTTTGAATATATGGGCTGTTACAATGCTATTAAAAGTAAAGTATCAGTGACCGCTTGCCTTTGAACATCTGTGTACTCTACTCTGTAGCTTGGGTATTTTAGGAGAAAAGATCAGATTTTTATCATATCACCAAAAATGTTTTACAGGATTCAGGAAAGACTGAGTTCTTTTTTTGTCATGCTCCAAAACAAAGTTTAAAATATGGAGTAAAAGCTGTATCAAATTTACAGGTTAATAGTTCTTCAAATGTGGCTGTAGGAAAACAGTATGTTACAGAGAATGAATTATTAATTGATGTACCAGTAAAATATGAAAAATGCTGACATTACCAAAGAACATGTTAATATTCTTTCAATTTTATCAGATGACTGAAGAGGGAGAGAGGAATGGGGTAAAGCAGGGAGTGAGAGATGGAGGGAGGAGAAAGAGAGAATAAGTGGCAATTTTTCTAAAGGAAAGTTTCTGTGGACACAAGATCAGTGTGTCTGGCTCTGATACTAAAGCACTCTGCTCAAAACCAGTTTTGGGGGGTAAATATGGATGCAAAATTATTGGTAAAATGCAGCACCTTTGTCAGGAAATTGCACTGATACTGTTTAAAGAACAAAGACATTTTTTGCATCCTTCAAAACATCTCTAAGAACAGCAAGGTTAGAGAGGCAGGGTTTGCAGATTTCTGATTGCAGAAAGGCTGAACAGCCCCAGATAGGGTCTGTCAGTATTTGCTGACAGCTGTCAAAGTTTGTTCTTTCTGTTATTCAACAGAGCAGAGATTGAAGGGAGAGGGTCAACCGTGGATATGTCAGTATGTGCCCAGGAAACAGGTTTGTGAATTGTAATACTTGCACAATTTTGGTGGTAAAATAAAGGTTTCTGGAGTTCTACTTTCTTTTCTTATTCTTTGATTTTAAAATTTTACACAGTTGACAGTAGTTGTTTTACATTTAAATCCATTGATTCCATTGATAAAACAAGAGTTTTTCTTGATGATTTTGTTTGTGTTGCTTGAAAATCAAATGAAAAAATGTTTTAAAGCAACTGATGGCTGCAAAACCATAAAACTCCAAAGGAAGCTCAACTTTAGGTGTAAGCAGCAAAATATTACAAATTATTTTATGCATGCTCTGTTTTTGGTTTTGGGCTAAGGAGTTGGTGCTGAATATGAAAACTTTTGCATAGAAGTATTTGTTTAAAAAGGAGAAGAGGCAGTAGGCTCTTGAGCATTTCATTGTGAAACGCCAGGACCTGTGTCCTTAAGGATACATTTAATACCGTGCATATAATTCACCATAATTTTAGACTCTTCCTCTTTCACAACCCTCATTTTTCAAATGCAGAACATCTGCATTTGTGCTTTCCTGAATCCCATGTACTTTGGGATATAGAGAAGTAGAAGAGTAACTGAGAGGTCCCTGAGCACAAAAGGTCTCCATTTACTTGAGTGGGAGCATTTCACTGGGTTGTTGAGATTGTCCTTGTTCTACATCTCTTAATCTTGGACCCCAGGCTGACTTTTTCTTTTCTCTCTCTCTCTCTTTTTTTTTTTTTTTCTGGTTTTCTTTTGGCCATAGATCTTCCATTTCTGAAAAATCACAGTTTGTTACTGAGAACTCAGCTGTAAAGTGCTTCGAGTGCTCAGACAGAAAGTGTGCTGTTCAGGCACCTTAATGCATGGTGACCACAGCAGAGCTGGTCTGCACTTTTCTGCCTCTATGTATTATAAATGAGTAGCTGTTAGAGCACTTCCTTATTCTTCCAGCTTGTCAGTCCTGTGCTCTTGCAAACCTGCTGTTTATTACTAAGTTTTCCCTCCAGGTATGCACTTACTGACACCGATAATAGATTTAGCCCCTCTGGAAATTCTGGAATAGAAACTTCAAAGCAGGTGAGACTTCCTCATTTGGAAAACAAAACACTAGTAGGAGATAAAACTTGCTGATATGAGTTATAATCCTTTGCTGTCTGTAGCTCTCCTCACAGCTTGTGCTCTTTACCATCTGGCCCACAGTCTTCAGGGCATATGTACTCAGGTGCTGTCTGTCAGTAGGACACTTGCGCTCTCCATGACCGATTGGGGAGCACCTGAGGGGAACCAGATAACTGGGAATGGCCACTTTGGACACAGAAGTTAGCAAGTTTTGTCAGGCAAGAAATTCAGTGTCATTTCTCAATCTATCCTCATCTATCAAGATAGATGTTTGGTAACCAAAGTTTAGTATGAAGTCTTGAAGTTGCTATGGATTTTCATCACAGGTGGGCATCTCTACAAAGGGATAGCTAGAAGCCACCTTGTCTCCATATGGATTGTGTGCAAGGCTCCAGGAAGGTAATAGACTTTCTCAGATCTCAGCACATATCCCCATTTTTTCAGCTGATGTGTTTTAGTGCTTTAGAGCAAGAGAAGATGGAAAGCAAACCAGGCAAATTGTGCCTAATGTGATGTACCTAGATGATGCTGTGATCTCTTCACCCAGCTCTACTCAGTGCATTGTTTATATAGATTTCACTGGATGGTGCATTAGGTTGTTAGCAAGGGTTAGAAACACTGGAATTACCAACACATTCATTAGCTTTGACTTCTTTCTGACTTTATGCAAGATATTATTTATAGTGAGGATTATAAGAGCAACTGTGGGGGTCATGTTTTGAGGTACTGATGTGTGTAAATGAAAAGAGAATCTGGAAGACAGGAAGAGACTAAAGAGTGAGCAAAATGTTGGACTGAACAGAGTACAGACCTGAACACAGTAGGATTTGAGGACATTGCCCTGAAAGCCTCAGCATGTTGTCTCCATCAGGGAAGTAGTTCTGGGTTCTGGGAGCTGATGCTTTGCCTTGAGCAAGGTGCTGATTTGCCTCAGTATTGGGAAGTTATTTCCCTACCCTCAGGATCTCACAGGGGGAAAGAAAGTGCATGGTGGCACAATTTCAGAACTAATTTCCCAGCATGAGATCCCAAGTATTTGCTGAGTTTCTGTAAGAGCTGTGGGGCTGGGCGGCTTCACACCACTTAAGTTGCTGTCTACCAGATCTACAATATTCTTCCTCTGTGACACATTTCTCTTAGCACAAATAGGAAGTGACTGGAATTGTGGAGCAATTTGTGGGTTTTATCTGATAAATGGAATAAGGCAGCAACTCTGCCGAACTTCTTTGCACTCAGAATGCAAAACTCAAGGGGATGGTGCAGATCAATAGGAAGATGTGCATACTCCTAACCTTTGAGCACTAACTAAATGCACGTTCCCTGTCTCTTGCAAATTTTACTTTGGATAACTCCTCTGTATATCATTCGTACTCAGGCAGATGAGTATTTTGGTTCAATGTTTATACGTGCTCTGGAGAGTATCCTTCCTGATTGAAGTCTATAACTTACCTTATATGCTTTTATGTTAAGGCATTAGTTTAGAATAGCTTTTAGAAATGTTCCTGCTGGGAATACAATAGCAAATAATTGACATTGAGAGACTTTCAATCTTGTGATTTTTGGATACCAATACCTAAGTTTTACTCTGTTTGTGGCAGAAAGTGTTACTTCCCAATGACCTTTGGGAAATTTAAGCTTTTTCTTAGGAATCAAAGAAGAGCAAGGGGAAAATTCACACATGGAAAACAGTTTGCCTTTATTTTTCAAATATGTGGAATGATTTATTATCAGAAGTGCGAATAACGCAGTACAGTAAGTCTTGGGGCTGAATCCTGTTTCCTGTGAAATGATCTATGAGAAGGGGAAACCTGTGTCTTCATTCAGTGCAGTGAGAATGCATGCACACCCAGGCTATTCCTCAGCTGCCTGCTAATGGGGGCCAGCATGCCCCGTGAACATTCAGAGCAGCTTTCAAAGAGAGGAGCTCCCAGTATGAACAAAGTGACTTGCCACATCCTTCCTCCTCTTTCACCACTTGCAAACCTTCTTGCAAGACTGAAGACAGCAAGTTGGTAACACTGTTCAGAGATGCGTGTCTGCTGACCTACCTTCCCTGGTGCCCTGGAGAAAGCAGGCTCTTACAGACCACAAAAAAGGAAGAAATTACTTGACCCTTTTAACGAAATTTTTCAGAATGACTCTATCAAGAAAAAGTGCATTCCCATTGTAATAGCTGTATTTTAGGCCAAAAATAGAGCTGGGAACAGCTATTCATTATGCAGCATGCCTAAACAGAGCAGACGTTTGAAAGAGTGGGAAATAAAAAAAGATAGGATGCGCTCAGATCTAAAGGCCTGGTTTTGGAGCTCTGCTGCATAAAAGCACCCACACTCAGTCACAAAATATAGTTTATTAATTATGTCCTCGGAACCCTGAAGGGCTGTGAAATTATTATTGCATTGTGGCAAATACAAAAATGCTAGCAACTAAAGAATTGCTTTTAGATCCAGACCGCTTTTTGTCTACAACTTTCTGCTTAAAAGTATGTGATTCTAGAACAAATGAACTCTTCTAAGTTTCCTGGAATTAAGCATTTTTAGTTTTCAATGTCATATGTCATTTTGTTTAGAAATTCACTATACTTCTGTTAAAAATATGACTTTCATTAAAAAACAAACAAACAAACAAACAAAAACCCCACAAAAAACTAAGAAGGTAGGATTCAATTTCAAATTAGTTTGCTACTTTTTCACCTTTTTGATCTCACATCCCACCCCAAACCCAAAATATTTGCTTGGGGGTAACCTAAATTGATCCTCTTTCTCTCCTTGATTTTTTTCATTTTGAGCAGTGAACCAAAAAATCAGCTATATGCATAACTACCATTAATATCTTTCTAAACTTACTTAATGGAAAACATTCAAAGGCCTCCTGAAACATCATCCAAGTGTTTTAATTTTTTCCACCCTAAGAAGAATATGTGAAAATCACTTCTGGCTAGTATGTGCAGGTTGTGCTCAGATATTTAGTATACTTGTGAAAGCAAAACTATCATATTTTATGCATAGAGCATAGTCTTAAAGCAGATGGATTTTAAATAGTCAATAATGTATAATACTTCATATAATGCACAAAAATATTAAGACTATGTCCTGAGATCAGACCTGTTTGTGTGTATAAACACGTCAGATGACACACATGCCTGTGACAAATATGTGGAGACAGAAACACCTATATAGCACTGAGGGAAAGGTTGACCTCATTAGGCTCAAATTTTTAAATGCTACAGAAAATCATAAAGTGAGAAAGGGCTTTTGATGCAAGTTTTCTACCTGTATGTCCTTGCATGCATTATAAATCCTTTTGTGGTGGATTTTGATAGGAATGTACTTCCTAAAGTCTGTAACTAAATGTTATGAATACCATTAAATGATACTTGTTAACTCATTTTCCAAACTTGTCCCACATTCTGATATTGTTTCAGGACCATCACCTTCTCCAAATTCAAAGCACTTTTTGCTTGGCAGAAATTACTGCAAGACACATGACAAAATGTAGTAGCAAATAACAATTATTTCTCACCTAGCTCCACATCTTGATCATCTGTGAGTACAAGGATGATATTTGGTCTGATATTTTTTCGCTCCTGCTGCACACGTCCTCTGAATCTTGGGGACTTGATGGTGGAACACTGACTTGTTAACAATTCAGTACTGAGCACTGCCAAGATCAGTGCAAACCAAGAAGACTTCATAGTAGTTCCAGTATTTCAATGAAAAGACTGATCCAGAAGTGTCTGAGCTCTAGCTTTCAAGCCTGTAGGGACGAAAAGAAATTCCGTTCAAGCAATAAATAAACTTTCAGTCATACAGTGAAAGGAGGACACTTAGGGAAGTCAAGTCTGACACATACCATTTAACATGATTATAAGCTATATTGTTGAGTAAGAGGTTTATTCTGTCATTTTCTAGGAATAAACTCTGTCATTCTCCAACTATGCTTTCTCAAAAAATTTTTGCTTGAAGTCATGCCATTGCCTACATTTTGTAGGCATGACTTCTGGTATACGCCTCACAGTGCTCCTTCTCCTACACCCCACGCTTCTTTTTATGCAGGTTGTTCCTTATATTCAGTACCTGGGTGCAGTAAAAAATTGCCAGGATGCAGACGTGTTCAGAACATCTGTAGGAGGAGCCCTGTGAAAAGGAGAAAGCAGAAGGCTTGTCAGTCAGAGACCTCAGTACTGTGGCTGTGCTTCAAAGTCTGCAGAACTGTTTGTTACACCTTCTTTTTCTGTCCTGAAAGAAAAGAGGAGAAGAAAAATTGCATTCCCCCTAGCCCTCCTACTTAATTTAATACCACACCTATGCATGGGTTAGGTGGTACCTTGGCTGCTGGAGATAAAGGACATACATCTCACGTCATCAAACAGAGGTGCTTTTCCAACATTTACAGTCAGATTTATAGTGAGGTTCTGAGAATAAGAGTTAATTCCAGAGCGTGGCACCTGGCGAGCAACAAAGCTATTTTAACTCACCTGCATGAGTGACTAAACCCTTCAAAAGCAGAGGGGAGAGCATGGCTCTCATTTGTAATCTGCATTGGATCACTACATGAAAAGTCATCTTCCCACTGACAGCACAGCTCATATTAAGTGACAGTCCATATGATCTTACCCAGCATTGTGAAGGAGTGTAACCATCCCTCAGTCAATCAACGACAGACCTGAGTGCCTCATCCATAATGCACGGTACCTCTGCCACAGCCTCGTCCTCGATACTCCACTTCCTGACTTGGCTCAGTATGTTATTAGAACCCTCACTCCGTGCCTGTCAGTCAAACAGCCGTGCTTTTGTAAGACCTGCTGCAAGCACAGAGGCTTGGCTTTGCTGCAGCAGATTTAAACCCGTGACTGAAAATGACTGATTGGTCTGGGGAGGAAGGGGCAGCCACTTACACTTTAACATTTTTGGCATTACTGACTGAAGCTCTGCAAAGCGGTTCTGTAACACAAGGGAAGGGAGGGAATATCTGGGGGCAAAAAGGAAGAGGGAGGGAAGGAAACCATGGAGTCATGCCTGTTCCCTCCAGGGTATTGACCTGCCACATACATTTCTCCTGTTTTTATTGTGGGACTATGGATAAAGCATGGTGATATCGGTCAATTAAAAAAAACTTAAAAAAACCACCCAAGCCCAAGAACAATCAAGAATTCTGCCCAAGGGGAAGACTGCATGGGAACTGGGGTGTGCCTTATATAATTAGCATAATGGAGCATAAATCACGAGGAGATCTGTGCACCCACACCTGAGACTTCATATTCAGACATGCAACATGAACTGCAAACAGATTAATAACCAGAAATAATTTAATGAGAACAAGACAGAAGACAAAAAGGGCCCCACCACTCACCTAAAAATGCGCTAATAGGAAGATGCTCTAAATTTCAGGGGAAGAAGCCACAGGAGAGGGAAGGGATGGGACTTGGTGCTGGACTGCTAGAAAAAGGATCGTGTTCTTGTTTCCACATACACCTTTTATTTTAAGCTTCGCAAGCTAAACAGTTTCATGCTCCTCACTCTGGCAGGCTGTAATTACACCAGAAGAGTGTGAATGTCTTTAAAAGGAAAATCCAAGCGTCTGTGGCAGAGAAATCTTGACTTTCTTTGTCTCTGCACCAACAAACACTCCAGCCTTACACTAACATTACAGCACTGCAAAGTCAATACAGGGGAGCACCATTAAACGTTAAATGCTATTTCAGTGATTACACAACATTCAGATAAGTAACTGGAAGTCTGTAATTTTTCTGGACAGAATTTTAGAAATAGTTTAATTTCCATGTATTTGTTCTTAAGTCACATGAAAACTGACAAAAGCCCTGAAGATCAGGGTTACCGGAGAAGTCGGCCTTCTTCTGACAGACACCAGATACCACATGCTCTTGGTGCAAAAGCAGAAATACAATGTCTCTAAATGTCTGATCTTTAAATAGAGAAACTTTGATTCACATCACAAAGCACAAAAGCCCACGTGAAGTGAGACTCAGTGTTTAGTTTCTTACCTCAGTTTTATGGTACAGCAAAGTTTCACAGACAATGCTGACCCAGAAAGTGCAGCCATCCTGACTGTGCTGAGCAAACATCGGCACCAACATGTTTGAATAATCCCCCACCATATGAAACTATAAGTTTCTGACAATTTCATTTCACCCTCCTTCGTCTATATTATTTAGTTAAAAAAAAATCTTTTCCTGTAGCAAGTTGGACCCACCTTTGGCAAGTTTTTCTAGAAACAACAGTGGGAAGGTTTCTTTTCCAACTATATTTTTGTTCTTACCAGCAGATAAAAGAAACTATCAGGATGTATCTACACATATCAAATTAATAATTCAAGTTTCACTGAATGGTTCTTGCACAAGAGCACAGTAATGCCACATTTTTTTTGCTCATATTTCAGTTTTGCATATGGCAAATCTTTATTAAAAGGTGATCTTTGACAACTTGTTCTTTTATTGCCTGCTTCCCAGCCCTAGAAGGAAATGAAGTAGAGAAAACTGTCCAAATACAGCCTAGATAGACTGATAGGGAAGACAAGGCTGCAATGTTTGTGTTGGATACTGGCTGGTAGCCTATAAAAGCCCCTGCAGACACTGCAATTTGTCTTGAGAAACAGACAAAAATAGGAGAAATTCTAAAAAGGACTTTTTCAAATTTACGTGGAGAAGCAAACAAACTTTTTTTGCACAGTGTTCAGAAATCAAGAGGGTACTATAAAATGCTTTTCTCTAGGCCAAATAAACAAATGCTATTGGTGAAATTTAAAGTGTATTTTTCCTATGGAAGACACTTATGACAACTGAAATGTAGTCAGTAAATAAAGGAAACCAGAGAAATCCGAAGAAATTATTTTTCATAAGCTGGATATAATTTTTTCTTTCTGTCATTCTTTTTTTTCCCCCCCACAGGAGCAGAAATGCATAGTTTGCAATCACCTTTCAAGGGATAAAATCAGAAAACTCCAATCTTTAGTTGTTTCTGTGCTGCTAGTATTATAACAGACAGTTCAAGGACTTGTTGGCATGGAGAATTAATTACTCATGAAACTTGAATTACGTTGGCAGGGCACTACAAAGAAAGGCGACAGTGCCACTCCTGTATTGTGGCATAAAAACTACAAGGACTTTATTTCTAGGTTTGTTAAGAGAGTGTTGTGCAATATCTAAGAAGAAAAGCAAAAGGTAGAACAATATCTTTTGAAACTGTAGGTTTTATACTCATTTTGATCAAGAACTGTTCAAGATTTTTCAGTGCATTAACCGAAAGTGCTTAATTTGGAACACATCAGAAGACAGACAGTATTCAAAAAGAACATTTTCCACTTTGTTTTCATGTCCACGTTTTTCCTCTGTTCACTTAAAATGCCATTTTTTGTTTGGGCAATAAAAATCTGTCTGGAATCATACACTTTTTTATGAAACAGGGCACTGAGCATCCACAAGAATACTCCATTATAGGCTTTAAAGATATAGGGACTTTTGCATATTTAATATTCTACAAATGTGGCTTCCACAGAACCTTGCACAAGGAATCTGTCTTACATAAGCAGATTTCTTGTTTGTAAATCTGAAATCAAACACTGGGATAATGAGCAAGGATACTGGACATATGTCCATTCCCAGTATTATGTGCTGTGAAATTCCCCACATCAGTAATTCACGATCAAGTGGTAATAAAGGGCAAACAACTTTATCTTCTCTGTACCACAGAGTTGGCATTTTCTTTTGAGCATGGACATTGAGGACATCACATTTTCCAAAGTCATAGGTTAAGGCCCACTGCTCTAGTGGCCTTTCATTAGGCACAATAATGAATCAACTATGGCCAATAAAAGAAACAGTGGTAATGGGAATAATAATAATAATAGTGATAATATGGACTGTGATTGTGGAGCTTAAGTATCAAAGACTCATGGACTCACTGAATCATTAGGGTTGGAAAGGACCTCTAGAGACCATCTAGTCCAAATTAGCCCTGCCAAGGCAGCACAGTCTTCAGGGGTATCAATCTCTACCACCACTTTCATATCATTAGCAAACATGAGAATGAGAATTCTGGTTTCTGTTTCCAGGTATTAGCAGTAAATGTGCCCAGTGAAGTGAGAGTATAAGGTAGTGCATGGGATCCTAAATCAAGACACTCCTAATGTGGCAGCAATTTGTGTTGAGTTGTGCTCCTCATTACTATCCAGTACCCTTCAGATTTTATCTCTGTAGTTAGATTTCCCTGCCTCCAAAAACTGATATAGTTGTATATAACTAAGATACAGTCCAAAACAGATGTTCTGCAACTTAGAAAATTTTTTAGATTCTCTAGTAAGTGCTAGTGCACAAAAATATATCAGGCTCATGGAAAAGAAGCAGAAGGCCTTGCCATTGCAAGTGTTAAGTTGCCTCATTTCCTTTATGCAAAAGATAATCATGGATAATTTCTTCTTACAGGCTTTTCTGATAAATAAATGGATAGAACCTCTTAAAGAAACAAAACCTAGGATATCAACCACCACAAGAAAATGAGATTTCCTTTCTCACCCCAAGCAAAAGAGCATCTTCCTCTGTATTTTACCTATGATCTGCTGACTTGACAGTTTTGGTTTAATGAGCACTTTTTACAGGAATATGACCCCACTGTTTTCTATTTCCTTAAAATCAGACTCTCCATAAGAAAAATAGAAAGCCAAAGACAACTAGAAGAATTCTCTTAATTCAGAATTGGGATTCTGCTATTGTCAGTGTTTTATAATTTCCAATATGACCTTGGAGGTTGGTCACATTAGCGGGCACCTGGTCAGCATAATTTCAAAAACCTGCCAGTCTGCCTGTAGTGCCAGAAATCGCTGTTGCTGGCATTATGTTAACTGGAGGTGGCTTCATGCACTTGTGACCCTACAAATCCCAGATTTAGTGGTTTAGAGCCACCATTTTTAGTTCTTTACTTGATATTGAAATGTGTCCACCTGGTAGTGCTGCTGTACTCAAGAACATTTTGCGTGCACAGAAACTCCAAGGTGAAAGGGAGTGGAAGGGGTTTTCTCAGCCACACCAATACAGCTTCTGTGATTCTTTGATGTTTATGTCAAAGGGTGCATGGACCTTTAAAAGTCTCACATGGTAAGTGCCACGAATCTTAACAGGTGT